AGAAGAAGAAGAAGAAGAAGAAGAAGAAGAAGAAGAAGAAGAAGAAGAAGAAGGAGAAAAACAAAAAGAAGAAAAAGAAGAAAAAGAAGAAGAAGAACAAGAACGAAAACAACAACAATAACAACAATAACAACAACAACAACCACAACAACAACAACAACTGTAACAAAACAATTCTTTTTACAAAATTAAAGAAATAAAATAAGTGCAATAAAGGGCACCAAGGGCACCAAAGCAATTTAGCAGAACGATAATGGTCACTGAAAATAAAAGAAACTGGGTTTACATCTACGCTAGGAGAACATTACTGACAGTCCATGTCTCGCTGTGACCGCTAATGGCCCGCCCCAGGATCTGTTTTGGTCCACCTCTGATTTTCATGACGTTACTCTTCACAAAACTCTTGCCATTATTATTACGACCGATTGACACCAGAGCTTTACTGTAATTTCTGTTGCGCTCCAGAACGTTAATGTCGAGGTTCTCATGAAGAATTGAAGGTAGGTATAGAAGAGACGTCGGAGTATAACCTAGGGTGTGAGGGTGGGCAGAGTATAAGTATTTGTGCTGAACGAAGAACGTGTGATAATAGTCTTTTACTCGTCACATCATACCACAGGTAGGTAATGCGATCGTAGTTCGTGCTCCTAGATTAATGGGGAAACCTGTTCATTAAGTTGGATTTTACCTTGACAGACAGAGCGAAAGATAGACAGACATACAAAAAGACAGACAAACTGACATACAGACAGACCAGGCATATAGACAGACAGACAGAAAGTGACAGACAGACAGACAGACAGACAGACAGACAGACAGACAGACAGACAGACAGACAGATAGACAGACAGACAGACAGACAGACAGACAGAAAAAGATAGACGGACAGACAGACAGAGACAGACAGGCAGACAGACAGACAGAAAAAGATAGACGGACAGACAGACAGAAAAAGATAGACGGACAGACAGACAGAAAAAGATAGACGGACAGACAGACAGAAAAGGACAGGCAGATAGAAAGACAGACGTCAGTAATCGTTGTTCACCACTCGTGTCTCTGTTTGAATGCTTTTAAAACAATGGAAATTATCACTGTTCTTCCCCTCATTCATCTGAATACTGTCCAAATAAATTATTCTTGATCTACCTCTGCCTCTTCTGACTTCAGTGGCTACAGTGAGGGCAAGGTGTTTCAGCCCTTTATGTCAAATCAAACGTTCCAGGAACTGACCCTGGCTCTTCCTTATTCTCTTAAAGAGTGACTGTCCCATGAGGGATTTTTTTCGACTCTGTATTATTCAGTTAGCTTTCCTGTTCACGAAATTTACAACAGTTTCCCAAAAACACGTGTTGTTGTTTCTTCCAGCATTAGGACTATCTTAAGCAACTGTCCAACATTCACATTTGAAAAAATAGGCTGACGACAACAAACCTTTAATTTAAAAAACATCAATTGTTTTTGCTGCCATTGCTGAATTATCTACGTTTGAGGATTGGACTCGTTTCACTGAACCTATTTTTTCCCCCTTGCATCATGTCTTTCTGATATATTTGCACTGCGTTAGCTGTCAGATGTATTTACATCTAGGCCTATATTACTTTTATGGTATTCAAACGTTTGGCATCACGTTGATGTTGCTATTGTTGGAGTTTCTTTTTTCATCTCTTCATTGCAGGTCTGCCAATTTTTCATTTCGCTATCATGATCAGATCAGTTACTCTTTTCTCGTTGTCTACAATGAAATGGGCTGTGTGCTGCGTGTGTGTCCTCATACGTCAGTGGTCAGAGGTTTTAAGTTTGGAGACAGTCACAATGACATGCTCAGGCACCCCAGGATTCATCCGCCAATGTGACCTGAAAACAGTCCCGTGTCCTTCTACCCCCATCCTTGTGTGCGGGCCTGCAACGAGGACAGTGACTGTGTTGGGTTTAACCTCATCACATGCACCAACCTCTGTTCTCTCTGCTCGAAATCAGGCGTGGCGTCATTTTCTGGAAACGAGACAGACAGCATCCGGTTCACATGTTACGACTGTGGATACTTCCTTCCGAAACCTCCGCGGTTTCTGCCGTCTTTTATACGAAAAGTCGCCTTTGACGGACAAATCATCAGATTTTCCGCTATCGTAAGAAGTAGCTCTTTCAGTTTCGGCCTACGCCGATATGCATTCGAGGAACGCGATACCAAATGTATCATCGACGTTGTGTTTGACGTAGAGTTTGACAACGACTTGATTATTGCCACCAGATACTACTGGTCCAACATAGACGATCCCGAGTACACCCCACTCAGGAAGATGATCAAACGCGGAAAGCGTTTCGAGATCGAGGTTTTCGTCAAGTTGGACGACTACTTCGTCTATGTGGGGAACGAACTCCTCACAAAGTTTGCTAGACAGACCACACTGAGGGATAACAGGCTTTTCAAGTATTTTGAGACGACTGGTGACCTCGAAGACCTAGAACTAACTTTTCTAAACCACTGAAAGTTTTAGGCAGTTCCAAAATTGTTCTCCATAATGCTTTGAAATACTTTCATTCAAATAAATAATTTGGATTCCTGATCACAGAACAGTTCAAACTGCGCTGATATCGCGCTAGGAAACCCAGAAAAAAAAAAATCAAAATCCTCTATCTTTACTAATAATGAACATTATCTGGACAGATTTTGTATCATTCTTCTGTTTTTTACCCACACTTTTGTTAATTATTATGAAAATTATAATAGGGTGTCAAATTGTATTAAGGGAAGGAAAACAAAGTAATTGTCGTTTATATTTCGACTTTTTTATACTTTACTCCATTCCGTCGATAATGTTCAAAAGAGCACAAAGCCCCATTTCTTCGATTAGCTGCTTACTGCCTTTACATATTATTGATCCAAATGTACAAAGTTTTAT